AAAACGCCTCCGTGCATGTAGGGGAGGGGGGGAACGGGGGACAGATGACTTTATTTTCTTTAAAGGTGATTCGCAGTTTGTTCAGCTCTTAATAACGTGAGCTCCTGAGCTCGAATTTCACGGTTGAGAGGACAAGTCGGTTTTGCATCGGGCTGGCTGGAGATAAGCGAATCCCCTTCCTTCCTCCCAATCCTGGAACTTCTGCCTCTCCCAGGAACCACCCCCAGCCGTGCTCCCCGGGGAGGTACTTCACACGCCGTACGGCGAGTCCAGGGATGAACGTCTCCTTCTCAGCGCTGGGTACCGGCGGGGGTTAGAGCTGGTAATAGTAACAAACTTTTTCTCCAGGTCATGTAGCATACATGCACTGTACACTGCTGTTTATTACAGTACACTCTGTTGACAGCCAGTCACAAACATGAGATGTTTAAAATAGAGAAAATAATTGCAGAAAAATAAATTTCTAAAAATTAAGCAGGTGTTAATTCTTCCAGAAATTGGTCACCTGCGAACAAATCTTTAAAAAGAGAAACTGTTGTGCTTTGCTGCTATGAAAACATTAATGCTAATTATCAAATATCAGGACTAAAACCTATATTCGGTTCAGATGCAAAAAGCTGCAAGTCACCCTTTATCATTTAATTTAAATTACTTCGTAAAAAACCCTCACTTTTTAATTTGATCCCAATAAATCCAGAAAATGCGCAAAGTTTATCAGAATGCAATGTTTCAACTAAACACAAATTTAAATGCCATTGAGAAAGCCACTAAGCATATTCAGGTTAAAAATGAAGTCACTGAGATTTGGGTAATTAGGTTTTCCCCTTTCCTTTCTAAGCTGTAACAGACTTGAGTAATCCTTCATAGCAGACCAGACGAAAAGGTAAATAATCTTTGGTATTCTTAGTTTTAGGGAAAGTTTGACCTTTTCTTACTCTATCCTTCATACTAATATAACCTTGTTCCATGAAAGTATTTTTATTAATTATTAATGCTAGAAAGGTACATGCACAAAATAGTTATTTTTCATAACATGTAACAGATATCCATAAAATTGCTACTGTTACATTTTGGCAAAAGGGTCATTTATGTGGTGTGTTTGCTTATTCTCTCTAGTAAACAATTCATCTAGGAAAGTCAACCATTCATTTATGTTACCAGTGAGCAAGCCTATCCTAATTTTGGCACACCTGGCATTCAGTTACTGTGATGATTTTACTAGAATTTGAATTAAGATGTTCACTATTGTAAATTAAATCTGGGAATTTTATAACAGAAGTGAAAAATGAGACCCTGCTTCTCTTCCTGTTTACTTCAAGGTGAACATAATCACATCACTGGATATTGAGAAAAAAAAATCCTAGCATTACTCCAATTTCCCCAGCCAGATTAAAGCATTAATCCTGCAAGTCTACACTCATAAATATAATCATGACTTTGGGCCTATTCAGGCAATGATTAATTGGAAAAAAAAAAAAAAAAGCTGTTTAACATCACTCTCAAAGGTAATATTGAAGCATAACAAGCAATAATGCAATTACAGTACTAGTGACTTACAGTTTCATTTTGCCTCGTCAAAGGACAATTAAAATGTGCTTATCTGACACATAATTTCAGTCATGAGTTCTTGTTACAAAAAGTCTTAATTCTTAAATTCTTAGCATATCTATTGAATAAAAACCCCACAAATGTATGCAAAAACAGTGATCCATTGAATTCTCATACATTAAGACTGTACTTTAAAGTGGGAATTCAGATGCCGAAGAAAATCTTCCTTAGATGTTATAGATGGTGGGAAAACTTCTTGACAGAATTCACATATTCCACACTGATTCAGTTCAGAGGCTGTATAAGCTTGTGCCAGCAACTCATTGTCTCGAGGCTGCCAAATGAGCTAAAAGAAACAGAAAATGATTATTGCTGTGGTTTACAATGTAGTTTACATTATGCTGTGATTTATATTAAAAAATACCTGCCTCTTTAAACTAGGTGTCCTTTACACCTGCCTGGCCAGAGACATTAACTAGAGTTCGCATTTAAGAAAAGCAAGATAGGACTTCGTTTTTTTTAAAAGTTCTATAAACATACTATCCTTGCAAACAGGTAGAATGCCTTGCTATCTATTAATGATAGATACTGCTATGAGCAAAAGACTGTAATATCAGTCTGATAAATATTAAAGCTTTTCTGTAACTTTGCATTTCAGTATTTTACTGTAGAAGTCATAGTACATAATAGCCATTTAACAGAAATGAGAAAACACATTTTTACCTTAGAATAAAGTGTTTCTCGTACAGAGTTCGTATGAATCATATTTTATTTCTATTCTTATTGACACATAACTAGTTTTCAGTTTACTTACAAAATGACTAGAGCAATGTCATATTGCTTAAATTACTTATTTGCTCCGACTGCCTTTTAGTGTAAATGTGTCTCCAATAATCTGGTTCGGGATTCCTTATGCCATGACAGGATCAAACTCAACGGGACCATTTGAATAGCTATCCATGCGTTCAGGCAATTCTGTAAACTATGCTAAATTTGGTACAGCAGCTGTACTGCTCTTGGTCCCTGAGCTAGTTAGTTTAAAGCCAGCAAGTCCGTTTACCTGACATTGGAGTTCAAGGGACTTCAGCCTGATGATACACACTTTAAGTCAGAGTGTACACTAATTATTTAGCATCATGTCAACTTGCAATCAAAACATCTTCTATCAGTTTTCAAAGTAAAGTTAAAAATTAAGTTGTATTACCTTAGTATTAGCAACACAAGATAAAATACATATGTTTGTGTTATATGACCTGGACGATAAGGTTTTGAGTAAATTGAAAAGTGAATGCATATTGCTGTGACTGCAAAGTAGACAGAATGGCAGCAAGCTGGTATGAGCTCTGTGTGGGGATGGAACCTAGAAGAGGAGAGCACCCTACAGTTTTTTTGGCTCCGTTTTCTTCTCTCTTGCTTCGCTCACACATGGAAAGGCAAGCAAGAATACTTTAGAAAGTAGTTTCTTTAGAAGTTTTAAACGTCTTGCTATCATTAATTTTCATCTCTTATTCAGATTTCATCATGGCAAATAGTTAGAATCTATTTTTTGTTCCTCCCATGGTAACCCACTGTACAACTAACCTAGCTTTCATAGTGGTTAATTCTTGTTTTTAAACCAGCTAAACTTCTCGGAGTCAATTTCCTGTCCATTCCCCACTTAAACAGTGTTTAGCTTATCAAATAGCAATAGCAGATTTACTGTCTTTCATTATGGTCAGCAATCCATATAATTAAATTGACTAATTAGTAATTAAGTGCAATCACACCACTTTTTTCAGCTCAAAGAGTCTACTTATTGTATGTTGCTGGTGTAAATTGCATATTAAATCTATCTAGACACTGACACACTTAAACATCCTTACAGAAATGTGTTTAGAATCACTTGTTTCTAATATCTTATGACGTAAAGCACCATTTAAAAAGAAAGATAAAATAGTATTGTAAAAACCACACAAAGGACATAGAATTCTAATCCTGGAAGCACAACAAGGGGAGGTACTCATCCAGCAACCCACTGAAGCAGGCACTTAACATTTCTTTCTTTGAGTGTTAAGCATGTGCTTAATATGCTTTTCAGAATAGGGATATATTTAAGCAGATGTGCCATTTCAAAAACATGAATATTTAGATTGAGATCAATAAGCTATTGATTTGCTTTTAAAATAACGAACATTCTTTGAAATATTTTTTGTGGAAACAACCCCCTCAAACTGTGAATACCGATAAACACATGCATCTATATGCAAGTCTCACTTAAATGTAGTCTGTAAAATCCTAGGTCCACTAATATCCATGTTTATTTTAATCTGCTGCTCTTTTCAGTCACATAGTTTTTTTTTAAAAAGTTACATCCTAAGAAAACAGTACTGAGTTTTCACATTTAGTATCCACATAGAAGGAAAGAGCTAAATTTATTACAGCAACTGAGAGCAGTTCCAAGAACTTACTGTTGCCAAATCTATTGCATTTATGGGGTTTTCCATTTTATAAGTTAACATATGTAGTAAATACTTGAAAGTTTTATCTACACTAGGAAAAAAAAAAATCAGGTATATAATTCCTCCCTATTGGAGCTTCACCAGTGGCAGGGATGATGGAAGCTGTAAGCAGTGTAGCTACCCCTTAGAAAGGTGGTAAAAATACTGAGAACAAGTTTATGCACAAATTTTGCTAAGGTTAATACAGTCAAAAGGGCATGTATGCAAGTAACTTTTAAAAAACATTAGTGTTTTAATCTACATATGTATGTTATCTGTGAATCAAATCTCTAGCACGGTTAAGAGTCAGAAAAAACTCTAAAGCTGAGTCCAATTCACTGGGAAAAATACTTAAAAACCTCTTTTGAAGGCAGCTGAATAAAGGATGTTTAAATATATTGATATACACAGATGTATATTTAATGGTTACTAAAATAATATTGGGTTGTTTCAAACAAGCTTCAGGATAAGACAGAACATTTTAATCCATGTCCTGTATATTCTACAGTGCTATTGTCGATACGACTTACAAATACTGAAACAATTCACCATTGCCTTTCTTTTTCTCAAGTGTTAGCATTATTACATTTTCTCCACAAAGTAGATAATTTACATTTTAAATGGCTCCAAATTAATCTCCTTATTTTGCAGAAATTCCAATGATCAAACCAAAGGCATATTGCTATTCAACCGCAATTCTTCTCTACTTTTTAAGCTGCATACTGCCCTACCAATTTATAATCACATACCAGCTGTTTCACTTGCTGTAATATACAATGCAGGGTGCCATCTATTGAAAAATGAATACACAGACTAACTAGTAAAAGAACAAGCTGGAGAGGGAATACAGAAAAAAAGGATAGTAACAAGCAATGGAGTGAATGCTTCACAGCTCCACAGGAATTCTCCCAGTGATAAAATAAATGGTTTAATTTGTTTAACTCAGTCACAACTTTAACTGAGGATCCAATGAATAATAAAGCACAATAAAAACTGTGATTAGTAAGTTGGTATAGAATTGAGATCTCCTACAGTACAAATAGATATTTAAAATACATTTTGAAAAGTCAGGCTTATAGTTTCAAATACAATGATGAAGAACAGCAAACTTTCCATGTTTAAACTTTTTATCCCAAACTGGTTTGCAATAGAAAATTAAACCAGACTGGGTACATTTTAGGAGAAGAAAACATCAAACCTTTCAAACACTTTCCAAATGCTAGTTTTGCATGTCATGCAGTGGCCAAATTGAGAGGTAAAGCTCTTCTGCTGCACGTACCTTGTCATTAGCAAAGAACACAAAACCACATCAATGTAAATAGTAAAAATATGCCAAAGACACCCTCACAGAATTCCTAAATATCACTATCTGCTTATTTTTGAAAAGCTGTTCTCTCACAAGGTGTGAGAAAAGCCACAGAAATATACAAAAATCAGTCTGTAAAGGTTCATAATAATTTTGCCAGCAATTTCAGTTGAGACAGGATGTTACACAAAAGCAGCAAAGTATTCAGAGATGTGATTGTCAGAACCTGCTGATATATTTTTTGCATTACAGCAACTGGGTCTTGCTTTCAGAAGCTCCCATTGACTTCAAGTAACTATAACTGAAATTCAAGGCCAAAGTATCTACATAAACCTAAAATAAAGTATTTTAGTGAACTTCCCTTCATTTGGAAAAAAAAAAAAAAGCTTTCCTCCTTGACTGCTTAAACTATGAGGAAAAAAATTTAAGTTCTCTTAGAGGGGAGGAATAGGGTGCTGTTTATACCTCAGATCAAGATAAAAAGCAGATCATTTTTCTACAGTGAAGTACTTATCTGTTCAGCTTTTTAATTAGTCTATTTGTCAAATTCTCTGCTGTACATTAAAAACAATTAAAACAATTATGTGCCCTATTCAACTGAGATCAAGGGTAGAAAGAAAGCAATCTAGGGGGCAACTTACGATTAATGACAGCTTTGAAATAGATATAGAGGCAATTAATATCTAAATGAACTGAAATTTGTGCAAGCATATGCAGTGCTTACATCTGCTTAAATTCCTGCCCTTTCACTGGAAAAGTGCCTTGCATGCATACTTCAGTATCAGAGAGAACTGACAAGAGATATTGTCTTAAAAAAAGACTGATGAGATATTTCATAGAATATATTAATCCTGTCTCAAAGATCTTTGCAAAGTGATTGCCCAAACCATTACCATTTTTTGAAATATACAGTATTTATAGAAAGATACCTGATGAGGACCTCTGACGGTTGTCCCCGCAACTTCTGAAGAAAACATTACTTCAGGTACACCCTGGTTTGTGTGCTTAGGTACAAACGTGAAACCAGTGTCTGTTGTTTTTAAACATGTTTTGTCATGGATATTTTCTATGGGCATGTTTGCATGATTTGGGGGGTTTGTTTTGTCAACAGGAGTTAAGCTTTGTAAAGCTGAGGTCATAAGATCGACTCCATGAGCTTCAAATGAGTTAGGTTCCAATTTACTGGGGTTAACAGCACGGTCTCTGTGCTCCAGGTTAAAATTATGATCTTGAAGCATGTTTTCGGCTATACCAGTACAAGGAACTGTTGGTTTTTCCTGAGTGCTCTGCAAGAAAGCAGAGTCATTGTCTGTAGGTGGAAACTTGACATTAAATTTAGAAAGTGATTCTACAGAGTTGTTGTCCTCATCTTGGCCCACTCCTCTTGGTGTGATAGATGTGATGCATGATGCACCTCTATTTATATCCTTTATAACCCGAGGCTTAAAAAGCTCTTCTGCTTGTTCATCAGTTTTATCAGTACACTGTATCGGCATGGAAAACTGAATTTCTGTGAAGAAAGAATGAAGAAAACATTAAATAGTCCACTGAAGTATAGTTATTAAAGGTGTGGTGTTGGGGTATTTTTCCTGAGAGGTTTTTGATCTTCCTTCTTGGCTTTTTAACCTTTATTTTTTCTCTTTGAAATCAGTTTGAGGCGTAGTTCTCTTTCACAAACATCAGCTCTGACACAAAAAATATCAGAAAAGAAATAAAATGAAATAATTCTGTTCCAATAACTCTATTTCTTTTTGATTTATGGCTATAAACATTTTCATTTTATTGAAAATTATGTTGTCCCATACTCTTAACACATACTTGCATATATTTACTGAAGTGTTCTGGCAGAAATAGAAGCTGGAACCAAAACCATTTCACATGGTGCCAAGAACACACTAAGCGCCATGAGCACGATTTTAGAAGGTATTCAGGTACCAAAGTCCCATTGGTTTCCAAATTAGGTAAATATTTAAACTGAATAACTATTCAGAAGTGAGACCATATTTTCCCTTTGTTTTAAGAATCCCCCCTTCATTCTTGGCACTTTATTAACAAAAATGGTAATAATATACATGGTTACTCCTACTCAGATGAGAGAATAACTTCAGTATACATTTATTGTACAGCAGCCTTCTGACATCACTCAGATATTGTAGCAATGTGGGCCACAGGAGTAACAGAAATCAAGCAGATTAAATCTGTATCATGTATAGCTTTTCGCACAGTTGAGTTAGGCACTCAAACTCATTCCATTCTGAAATAAGCCAAGCACTCATCCCCCAAAATTCCCACCCCCAAATAATAGTTTAGTAGTGTATAATCAGAATATAACAATACAGTTCAGACATAGCAATTTGAAGCCACAAGCTAAACATTAGCACTTCATGTAACAAAACTTCAATAATGGTATAACCTAAATCAGAAGCAAGTGCTAAACTCAGCATCTTTTGCTTCAACCATGTAGGTTTGGCAGGTGTTTTTTGAAATCACTTAAGAGTCTGATCCTACTATTAAGAAAAGTTAGTAGGGAATACCCATAGTAGCTCATATTGTATTAAATGTAAGCATTAGCAGAACTGGACATTCAGGATCTCTTACAGTTGCAACATAAATCAAGGCTTTTTTTGTTTTCAGGAAGATTAAGCTCTTGTCCCATATAACAAAACAGTATTCAAAAGTCTGCACAAGGAAGTCTAGAAAATAAGTCCTCTGACTCTCCTCAGTCCAGCAGTTTTCCTCTAACAGATATGGGGCTAGAGACATTCATAACAGACATCTTTTCAACTGACAGCTAAATTAAAAGCAAGCAAGTGCTGTCATTCACACAGTATGATGGGATATCACATGTAGTAAGTGCCTGCCTCTCACTCCAAGGGACAAAACAATTACAAGAGCCATTGATGTGATGACTGTCTTTTATAGCATGTGATTTGGAGCATTCATCATAGAATGCCAAAACTGGCGGTGCGTTTTCTTGGTGAAATACTGAGCACCATGTGAACAGACTTGAAAAAGGCAGATGGTAAACAGTGGAAGTACTTCTATGTATGTGTAATTTACAGTATTTTCAAATATAAAGCAAAGCTTTCAAACAGTTGAATCACAATAAGAGCTTAAGTATGATATTACCAGTTTCAGGTTCTGGCTTTATCTTAAATTTACTCAGTTGGTCTGTTTGTTCTCTGGCTAGCATACATATTCGGTGACACTCTTCTTTCATGTCCTGGAAAATAGTCTCCAGATTCTCCCTGGAAGATCAAAATGGTAAATTAAAGAGTCAACCAATTCAGCTTGTTGTGACCTTTCATCTAGTCACACCCACAAACCAGAAAAAAACAATAGTGTAAGCTACTTTTCTTGGATACTTTGTTCCTCAACATATGTATACATATTTTTGTTCTCTTCAGTAAAAGCAAGCAGAAAGGGAAAAGAAAATGTTGTCAAAGAGTTGTTTAGTCCTATCACATACATTTGAGCTTAGGGCCTGACCCTGCAAAGACGCCCCCCCCAAAAATCCAGCCTTTACATTTCTTTGAGTTCCCTCAGGTATTTTGTGGAACAGCTTATCTTTCACAAGGGTACTGTTTCCATCTCATTCTCGGGAGAATAAGATGCTGCTGCTGTGAACATTTGTTGTCCATTGTTTTCTGTGTGCTTCAGACTTTGCAGGAGAAGAAACACACAAGCATTTGTTACCGCTCCTTCCTTCTCTACCTGACATTTTGGAGAGGGGTTCGTGAACTCACTCCTCCTGCTTTATACAATACCACATCACTTGCATTTTTAAAATTATATTTTTTCCAGAGTATCATATGGACATCAGATATTTAGTTATCTGCACTGAGAATGGTGAGAACAGTTCTTCGTGTTGGTGTGAGTTTTATTTGCCCAAAGGCACTACGTTCTTCAGTTAGTGATGCATCCATAAAATTCCATTGTGAAATTTTGATGAACTTACTGAGTAATTTCTATTTCTAAGCACAGTATCATGGATTTTATAAAATGAATTTCACGGATGAAAAAATGAACTTGGTGACAAACTGGATTTGTGTTCTTTTTTGCATCTTTGTATCAAAAGAGCTCAAAAGGGGATTTTTCTTTAGTGAATTGTTTTCCTTTTTATTGCTTATTCATATAGCAATCAGGAGTGTCACGAGCTATGTTCCTACTTCTGCTGTGCTTCTCTTTTTGAAGACACAAATGTCTATTTGTATCTCATTTGAAAAAAAAATACAGAAGGAGTTGAAGTTGCTACTGTTAACACTTACATCCTGACCATTTTTTAGGTGGTTTGATAAATAAGAAATTAAAAAAGACTCTTAACACAAGTTTCTAATTGGAGCTTGAAAATACACATATGACTAGATGAATTAATCTTAATTTGCTAGACATTTGTGATACTATAATCTTACTAGTGTAAGATTACCAATAATCTTACCAGTCACATACCTCTTTCCAAGAAAACAGTAAAGTAAGGGAGCTATTTGAGAGGAGGGAGACAGAAGACAGGTAAAGGTTTTTCATTTGTTAGATATAAACCAGTAAAGACAAAAAAGTCTTTATCACATCACAGTCTTATTTCCTCTCTTTCTTGTCATAAAGCAGTAGTGAGTCAGACTAAAGACCCACGTAGTTCACCTAGCCCATGTCTGAGAGTGGCCAAAAGCAGATGCCTAGGCAAGAGATAAGACAAATTTTATTATACTTTTCCCTAATACCATGCTAGCCTCACCCTAGAGAATCTTCTACTTGACCTCAGCAAAATTGTTAAAAGTAGTATTATTGTCTATCCCGTGAAAAATGCAAACCTAAAGCTTTGGTCAATGTTTTTCCCAAAACACTGGCAGAAGAGGGAATACTTGCTTAGGAAATATAGTGCTTTTAGTCCCTCGGTCATAGCTTCAGCTTACACATAAACCTGGTTTCAAACTCTCTCATTTAGGATGGATCAGGCCAAGAATTATTTCTTCATGCTGACTATCAGACCTCCTCCTGGCAGCGCAGCAGGCTTCTCTGCTGTGCTGCCATCAGTTAATCCATTATGGTTGTACATTCCTGTTCTGAAGAGAGTTAATGCAAGGGAGTGAATGCTTACCCAAAACTCAGCAGTAACATCCACTGCAGTTTCCCACAGAGTTTAACCTC